CATAATCAATTAACATGGATTTTCGATTATTATATTTTCAAGATGTTACTATTCATGTGATAGCGAGATTTCCTATCATATTCGATATACTTTCTTAAGTTATACCAAACATATCTTAATCTATTAACCAACTATATCTCTATATGAATTTAAATAGATAAAAATGCATTGTATTCTGTAAAATTCCCTAGTTTACGTAGAAAATTAAGTCCACTTATCACTAATGCTGCACAAATCACATTGGTCCATCTCTAGCTTTTATTCAATTCATGGTATATATTACCCGAAGTTATTGCATAAAATCTCCTCTCGATCTCAATTATGCTCTCCAAATCAGTTTTAATGGTAATCAAGCATTAAAATGCATTAAGAACAATAATATATACTCACCATGGAATAGCAATCTCAAAAGTATAAAAATCATAAAAACTTATATGGAATTGATTAGGCTACATCGTAGCCCTAGTTGACTAAATCAGTTTATAATAAAAAAATAATAAAACTTAAAATTATAGTTATGAACATTCGAGTATCAAACAGTAGATGAAAGGAATCTAAGGAAAAATAAAACCAATTTAAGGAAATCAAATAACTCCTTGATCTTCTATTGTTAATGAAACTTCTATCTTGATCTTCAATAATGCTCAAAAGAGGGTTGCCACCAACCTCAAAAACTCTCTAATTTTGAATTTGAATTTGAATGGGTATTTATAGGATTTTAGAAACCTTAATTGGAATAGGAGTAGAATTTGAAACATAATAGAAAATTTGAATTTTGGATGTTGAACACATGATGCTGACACCCCGAATTACGTGTCGACACAAAACAAAAACAGAAACTCTAATTCTGGATGCTTAACGCATGGTGCTGACACCCCAATTATGTGTCGACACCACGCCGTGGGGGGGGGGGGGTTCTGACCTCTTTTCGCAATTTCTTCAACGATAAAATAGCAGATCTGGTCCTCCATCTTTTGTACGATAAGCACTTAGATCTCAAAACTCAAAATTCATTCATTTAGGTCTCAAAGAGGCGCCCTTCTTCTTGCAATTCAATCCCTCAACTTTTAAAAGATATTCAATTAATCCCAAAAACTCCTATTATTATGCATTCAAGTCTTTTTCTACACAAATAGTGAAAACCATGTAAAATCCC